AATGAACAAGCAGGCGAATACGTAGGTTTCAAGCGACAGAACTTGAGAAAATAGTGGAACGGCAGGATTCAAATGCAGATAGGAAGCAATTCTCGGGACATGTGAATAAATAAGCGGACGAATAATCTGCAAGCCGCGAAATCTGGCAAAATAGTCCGATGATAAAAGCAGAAAATAATTCTTGAAACATAGAAACGATCAAGTAATAACGAATACATAATTTTCAAGCCACGTCGCTTCATAGAATGTGAAAATGATTCTGCGCGTAATTCCACACACTTAAAATCTTCCACTCGACGTAATTTAAAAAAAGTTCCGCTTTTCTGCTACTCGTTTTATGGTCTCTGATGTAGGTGGAAGCGTTTTACGTATTTCCATACACCTGACCTTATGAACGCTTTGGGAACGCTGCTTAACGTGCTTTAATGGCGCGTAATAGCGCCAGGTATAATATCGCTGACAGTCGTACGGTCTGGCGGTACCACTCTCTCACGTACCGCTATAACATCGCCTAACGTTCGCCTAATGTTTCATCTAACCGTCGTGTCATACAACATGGCTGTACACGAGCGCGAACGTTCAACCAGTTAACTGATTGTTCCCGTGTCGAATCCATATACGCCCACTACCTGCTCGCTCCTAGCTAAGCCAGCACCTCAGTGCTTTTCAAAATGTACAATCACGTTACGCGCAATCAATGAGACCAGGTGCGCTAGACTTTCGCAGCTACCTCTCTTCCAAAACTGTTGAGAATTTCATCAGCTACACGCTGTGTTCTGACCCCGCGTATTTCCTAGTTCGTTAACGTATCGGCAATTTTGTTTCCTAACTGAGGCCACAAGTTCTAAGGTTCAATTTTCCAGCATAAAGTTGCTTGCGGGCAGTAATTTATTTAGGAGGATCATTTTTCTTCGGTTATCGCTCTTGAAGAGACGGAAGAGCTGCTACTAATATAACTGAAATTGAACTGAACGCTATGTTAAGTATCGAAGGTTGAATATCTCGTAAAACTACTTTAACATCGCTGTTGATTATGTTAAACAAATTGGGCGTGTTAGAACGTAACTGGTCTTAATAATTGCACCTTTGCTCTGCAACTAAAAACCAAACTAAAACCTAAAACTTATCGGTTATTGTTAAGACTTGCATCTTTCAATCTACTAGCTTGTTATCGGTTCAAATTAACGTTCAAATCAGGGAATCGATAAAAATGTACATGTCATGTTTTCCCCCGTGTGCTCTGCGACGATTAAATTCCAGTAAAAAAAAAAGCAGCTTTAAAGTTCTCGTTTATAGGTTAATTTCAAGTGGCATTGCTATTAAAGACGACATAGATTGAATGTCCACGTGGGCAGTGTTATCAACGCGCGTGTCACGCGATCGTTGTTTCCGTGAATTCTTTTTACTGCTCCGCCTGCCGGCTGTGTGAAACGTAGGTACACGGTTATATCCTGACTCTTTTTTCCTGAGGAGAAGGGAGGAGGAGGAGGAGGCAGAGGATGACAACGGGATAGAGATCAAAGAGACGAGTGTCATAAACTATGTTGTAGAATGAAAATGTTTTTTTTCAATGAAAAACATGGAATCGAGCTGAAACACGATCGCTTGATAAAACGTATAACGAAATTGAAACTGACAGAAACAATGGAAACAACGTCCTATTTCAAGATACATGTATATTCCTATTGCGTATCGTATAACTGGAATTTTGAGAATTAAGTACAGGACGACGCAAAATTAAATACAACATTAATATTTTCATATAGGAATTCTACTTTAGCGAAAAATTTTACTTCTATAAACATCGTTAAACAACTTGAAACATCAATAGGTATGCTTATTCTAAATTCTTGTATAAATTATGTTAGTCAATTATACGTTTAAGTTATAAGTTTATTCATGCAAGTTCCATCTTCATTATAAACCTTTCTTTTGTATAAATTACATTAGCGAATTATATATATAAACGATAAATTTGTTCATGTAGGTTTTCAAGATGTTTTACAACAATTTCAAACTATATCAGTTTCATCCTTATCTTACATTCCCTTCTCTACATGAATTATATCAGTCAGTTCTGTCGATCAAATCTGTTCACTGAGTTTAAAACAACAGGTTTAAACATCGATATCAATTCCATTAATACCCTATCTTAAAATAAAAATAATTTCGATTAAATAATCACCTTTAAAAAATTGATATTAAACGACGATATTAAACATGCATACCAATTCCATCTTTCCACGGAATCTCTATTTTGTAGAAATTATTCTACTAAATGTTATTAACTATACGATTAATCTTACGTCTCAACTTTGAAACATTTTGTACATCAGCAAACTTTCTCAAACAGAATACTTCCCATCTACAATACGAATCATATTCAGTTTCAACGGCTCTCAACAATAAAATCTCTAGATTCTTTCAACAACTGTCTCCAAACATGTTCAAACCACGGTTATGTAAACAGGTCTCGACACTCGCTAGGGAGAGCCGTCTCAAAATTTGAGTCGCGAAAAATCAACACGAAAGGCAACAAAGTTGTCGTTCTTGCGAGACAGACGGAGACGAGTAGAGTGACCCTGTCTGACACGTTCATAGGATGTCACGCATGTGCAGAACGAGAACCTGCTTGTCTTCCATGTTGATTTTTCACCACTCAATTTTCTGTATTCTTTTATACTTCCGTTGTACGAGTGTCGAGACCTGTTTATATCTCTGTTTGGCAACGATAGTGGCCCAACTCAAACAATTTCAAATATGCCTTTATTGAATAGAAAATTATGTTTCTACTTCTATCACGTCAAATATAAAATATACTTGTAACTGCATCATTTTTGCGTCACAGGACAAAATTATTACTTATGGGCTATTAATTACTATTACTAATTAATCTGGTCTTAGTCTAACAACAGCATTGGCTCTTCTTCGGTTGTTTTGTAACTCTAAAAGTGCAAGGTTGTACTATTTTTACGAACAGTGGTGTATGTTGCGATAAGTCAGCCGTATAACGCCGTTGAAACGATCAAGATTTCTTTGTAGATTTTAAAAAGCCTCTGCTCTAAAACTTACATGTTTCTAATTGTGCCACTATCGATGCAACAATATGATTAACCATACTACGTTCAACTACGAGGTTCAAACTACGTTCAACCATAGCGAAGCTCGCGAGTATCGAAGCAAAGTTTCAAACACGGAAATACACGCTTGGCATGACGACGTGGGCGATGACGGTTCCGTGGTAAAACCGTGTCGAATATCAGAGGGTGTGAGTCACTGGACCGCGTTTTTGTCTCTCTTTGGATCGCAGATCACGAGTGCGGAACGCGAAGTAGGAGTCGAGCGGAGCGGAGGTAGATTGAACGTAATGTGCCTCTTCCTCCGACGCAGATACAGTCACGGTCACCACACACTCGTACAATCTATCATCTGTGTTCGTACGTGTGCCTGTGTACGTGTATATTGGTACCAGCAACACCGGGAACTCTTTAACGAATCCACGGACAGACGCGCGTAAGAACGAGACCCTCTTCTTCCGTGATGTGTCCCAATGGTGGTCGTTTGATGGTGGAATTGATTCTTTGATGATTTGAGCGTTTCGATGCGTAGGGTTGGTGTTTATGGTGATTGTTACACTGCGGATTTTTATGCATTTATAGGAAATTTGAAAGTGCAACATTGCGTAGTGTACGTAATATGAAAAAATATGTAAAGTATTGCGAGCATTGTACTTTCTATGATACTTGTTGGCTAGAACAATCGCAAGTTGAGCCTGTCGAGGTTCTACTTCTTCTTAATTGTACTCTGAAAAATGTGAATTTGCATAAAAATCCGCAGCCCGGTAATGGTGGTTCTAAGTGGAAGAGGAGGGACAGAAGTGGGACAAAAACTGACTTCTGCCTGGATAATTGAAATCCTTTTTGTAGGAGAAGCCTGAGTCGTGTGAGAATTTAATCTGCCAGACTATTAAATTGTGCAGCTCGTAATGAAAAAACATTTGTCAAATATTTCAATCTATGCCTCACCTAAAAATTGATTTATGTCGTTGTCTTATTCAATTGGATGTATTAATTCGTCTACGGTGTAATTGTTTTAATTCTGATTACATAACGTCACGAATGCTTTGTTTAAAAAAAAGTTATCTTTTGAAGAAGCATTGATAAATAAATGTATCTGTATCTGAGAATTACAGGGCGAATACAAGATATATTTGTACGATATGGTATGCAGTATTCGCATTTCAATATTTAGATGAGTATTTACGCGACGATTCTCGCCAGTGTCAGCCCATTCATTTTCCTCGCGCCATTGTCCAGAAACGAACGATCCGCTTCAGGCATCCGATTGTAGCGACTAATTTATCGCTTTGGAGTAGCATGGCTCTCGATACTTCTCAAGAATGCGAGGAAGGAACGTGATAGCTATTATTCAGTGAATCGTCGAATAAAATGACTGAAAAAATATAATCCAATGACAGTAAAAAGAATTTTCGTATGTATGGTTGTATATATGGAGTGAGAAATTTAGATGGGTATATAGTCTGTTGGAAATTAGAAAATTCAAGAGATTAATGGAAAGCAAAATCATCGGAACGTCGTTATTAGTCTGCGAATATTTACGTAAATTCATTCAATACATCGATGAATAGAATTCAAGAAATGGAACTTTAAACGAGATACAAAAGCGTACAGTGTGTTTTAAAAAACATCTCGATGTATAGCAGGTATATGTAAATGCATATTTTTTTACGCATGTACAAACGAATATTTCATAACTATATTTTTATATAAATATTAGTAATTATCGTTGTACACGCATAAATATGTATTTATTTATTTAATTTCGACTTCGCGGTCAAGAAATAGTCTCGTTTGTATGTACAATACAATGATTAGCATTGCACACACATACTGCAATGTACATTATTGAAATATTTACAACAATATTTATGTATCCTCTGCAGTCATAACTCTTAAAGAAACTTCAGTATACTCGACTTTAATTAATCAAGTATCGAGGTAAACACATCTCTATGATTGCTTCAGCCATCCTGTACACACTCTCTGTTAAATATTTCATAAATCATCAAGCAGCCTGTCGACTAGTCGAAAGTAACTCAAACAACGCAGTAGTATATTCCAGCTAAGTTTCCCTATGATAGGTGCGCAACAGTCCGAACAGTTTCCTTGTCGAACGATGATAAAGAAGCGCGTAGGACTTTCCAGTCTCCCGGAGGTTTCTGATGTTTCCAAAGGATTGGCCCGGTTCTATCGGCGTAGCCTTGTGTAGTATATCGGAACGGGCGATTAGGGTCATTGGTTTTCCAAACCAGCGGAGCTGTTGCCGGGAACCGTTTCCAGGTTCTGATAAAGTCCGGTACGTTGGTTCTTCTCAACATCGATCGTCCTGGATGCGTTCGTCTCCGTGTGAACTCGCGCGGAAGCCTCTTCGAAACGAGCATCGTCCAAATCACGAAGAAACTGCTGTGCAGAGATGGAAAATTGACGCTCGAATGATCCGACTGGACCTAGCGCAGTAAAGCTTTTGATGATAAAGATAGGCTATACGAGTTGCTATTATTAGGTCCCTTCTCCCAATATGTGCGAAGATCCATTGGTTATAGTGTTATGGGTCTACTTTTAATTATAATAATAGGGTACACGCTAATTTTTCTTTTTAATTATGGCCTTTCTCAACGCTTGGAACGCTTGATTAGCCACGATGCAACATGAGCTTTCCATCATGAAGATAAGTCACACGAATTTTTATTATTAAACATGGCTCTCCTTGATATTTGAAAGGTTTGATTGGTTATAGTGCAACAGGTCTAATTTCTTCCATAGAGCACACACGAATTTTTCCTGCTAATTATGGCTTTCCTCGATACTTTAGACATGTGATTCGTCCTAGTACAGTAGACTCACTTTTGAGTATAAAGATAAGGCATACGATGTTTGGTTGTTTATAGTGAGATAGATCCATTTTCAAATATAGCAATGGAAGACACGAATTTTTGTTATTATGACTTTTCTCGTACTTGGAACTTACTTTTGGTCAGCTGAATTTTTATTATTAAATATAGCTGTTCTCAATATTCGGAAGGTTTGATTGGTCACAGTGTAATAGGTTCACTTTCATTTATGTTAATACAGCACACATGAATTTTTGTTATTAACGGTTCTTCTCAACATTAGGAAGGTTTAATCGATCACAGAACAATGGACCCATTTTTAATTGTAATAGTAAGATACACGAATTCTTTGGTTAGGTATAATTCTTCTCAACACTTGGCTTATTTTTGAATTAGCATTTTGAAAGCTTTTCTGTCCTCGAATATGGTTCTTTTTCATATGATTTTTAATGCATATATTTCTCGATCCAAATCACGAAGAAACTGTGTTTGTTGTGGGTTGTTCTGATTGAAGAACTCCGTCGTGCCGGGTTAGAGACTTTTAATTGAAAGTCGGGCGAAATATCGAATTCTCTTGGCTCCATTATGACCCACGAGGAGTTCTAACGGAGTTCGACTCCTCGAATGATTCGAGAACAAGATACGGAGGATGGCTATTGTGCGTGGATCAAAGGTGTGGATGTCGGTGTTGATCGAGTAGCGAAATACAAAATATCACAAAATTCTACGTTTATTATAACTAAACTTTCGAAACTCAAATTTTATCTTCTCAGTTTTCTGTCAATACAACCGTCTAAGCGAAATACGTAAAACGCAAAACATCTATTATGTAAATTTTCGATGTTTGAACTTTTGGCTCGAAATATCGACTATGTAAATCTTCGACGCTTGAACTTTGTTGCGCAATTATTTTCTCTGACTACATCCCTAGCAATAACAAACAAAAAGAAAAAAAATTAAGACTTTACGAGGTAATGTCGGAAAAGCAACGTAGGAAATCGTAGAAAACAAATATTCTTTGATGTTCTACACTTCCTCCATTTTATTGTTATCTATAGCATTATTTTTAGTCCTCGTGACAAAATAGAATACATTTAAACAACACGTGAACTGCGATATAAAGTCCAGTTACGAAAAGTGAATAAGCATTTAGTTTTAGTTGAATATAAAGTAACGCAGAGTAAAGGTTAACGCCCGAGAATCATCGAAACCTTGTGTATTTACATATACAGTAGAGATTTGAAGTTTCTGCGAAAAACGTGGCATTCGTCTGAACAGCGTCGCCCCTTTCCACTTTGGCCGCGCCCGATGGTTCTTTTTCACTGCGGCGGTGTCTGGCGGTCCTTTTCCACTTCACCTGGCGCGTGCCAGCGAAACGAGAAGGTCGAACCATCGGCCGCCTTTTCTACTGCGACCCCTCAGCCGCTTGTCTGACTACTCACTGGGCGAAGTTACTTCGAACGTAGAGACGGAATCGGCGTTTACCGCAGCTCTTATCGCGCCCGACCGAGTTAAATAATTAAAACGGCGCCTGCCGCCGGTGAAAGAACGCCGAGAATTCGTCGGCTGACTTTAATTACACGTGCACCGACTACCTCTACTCGTCAGCGAATTCCTCCTCGAACTGTTTTTCTTTTTATTCCGCTTCACGTTCATTTCCTTTTTCCGTCGGATGAGTTTCGAAGAATCTTAGATCGATCGTTGCTATGAATGGAGGCATGCGAGCTAATTGTTGTATTTGGATACAGAGATTTAAAAAAATTATATTGGTAATTGTATATAAAAATTATATACGTGGCAAATTGTTTAGAATATTAGTTGGACACTTTTGAATGTGGTTAATGATAACCGATATAATAGTATTTTTGTAGGAAATTGTATAGTTAACTTTGATACTGTTGTTTTCATTTCTTCGCATCTGTATCTGTCTTCTTTTTAAAGATTAACGATTATGTTGGACTTGAGATTATATTTCACTAGAAAGCCTTAAGGATAATACCGAATTTCGGCAATATCGTAAGAGAAAGAGTAATTTGTCGAGGGTTAAAACACCAGGTCCCTCGTGCACAACTCACTAAGGTTTTAACTGATAGTATCATTGAATTGATAAGATTATAATCCTTCCTTATAATCTCATAATTTTATGTCGGACGAGAGAACAAGATAACCGGTAATTTGTAAAGTTTCATTCGATTTATTATCAAGCTTATTACTATTATACAGGAAAACGCGTGTACCAGTAATTTATGACCAGTGACTTGTAAAATTTCGTTAATAATATCAACGTAGACGCTCGAAAATATCGATGAAACGTGAACAGAGAAGAATCAATCACTTCGAACAGAGAAGAAGAATTGTTGAAATCGGTTAACGCATTATGAGATTATGCGTGAACATACAACTGAAACAGTACGTATATACATAGATATACCGGTCGATCGAAGAATCTCCTTTTTTCGAAGTCGGTTAAATGACAATTATCGAAATGAATCGTTTAGTTGCTACAATTATCGTGACTGTTTGTCGCTGATAAATCGACACGCGTTTAATATAGAAGAAAATGCAGAAGCGTATCACAGACACGAGCGTGAGACACGTGAACAGCAGGACCGCGAGTGCATCGTGTGCACTTAAACGAGCTCAATCGTACGCGACCCCATTTAAATAACGACGAATTGGATCCCGGAGTGTTTCCTCTTCGCTCTGCTTCCCCTCTTCGCGTTACAGTTCACGCTGTTCGCTCACGATGTCGTTTTCGATCTCTGCTTTCCTTAAGCCTGCCAAGCTAAACTGCATTTCCAAAGGAGTTTCTATAGTTTCTACTGTTTCTATATCTCTTTGGTCCTAATATTCTCACTTGCAAACATCTCTCGTGCTTTATAACAATAACGATTACGATATCGCGCTATACAAGCAATTCTATGCTCCAAGCGAATGTATTCTCTGTTTCACAATTTGACTAGCTTTTATATTCTTCATCTAGGAAGAAACTTTAACGTTAGAACTACCGATGGTTAACACGAAGCTATTTCTACCAAAATCAGTCCAAATGACTGGTCTTTAAAAAATACCTAATAATAGAATATTTTTATATTTATTGATTTGTTACTTTCTTAGAGAAGAAATTCAATGTTATGTAGTACGTTTTTGGTATTATTAATCCATCTGGGACCATGATCCCTAAACGAGATTTGACAAATTTATAAAATTGTAGAACCAGTCATTTTGACCAGTGTGGAATTTCTAGCGTTAGCATCAATCGATCCAGCGATCGATCTGGAATTTTCCTGATAACTGATATCATCATATTGAATGATACGTAGTAAAAATTTAAAAAACGTGAGGGAAGTTGTATAAAACGAGGAAGCTGGTTAATTGGGGTTCGATAAACAGATTGCAGGACCCTTTTACACTTTGACAAGTACCAGTCATTTTGACTGGTATTGGCATTGATACAAAATTATTTCCAGTTTGAATACATGAAAAACAAAATAAAATTCATTATGTTATTCATTTAGTTATCGTTGTGAGAGTCACTATATCATTGCGGATAGAAAATATAACATGAAGTAGGAATTTTAAAATAAAACTGTAAAACCAGTCAATTTGACTGGTGTGGTAGTTCTAGTGTTAAGTAGATAACATAGTAGATAAGTAGATAATTTAAGTAAGATAAATAAAAACGATATTCTAATGTTGGAAACTTTATTGTTCTACGCGTACCGCAAGAGATAAGTAAATAAGGAAAGATAAAGAAGGGTAGGAAAATTCGAAAAATATAGAAAAATTGTTTATATCAGAAAAATCATGGTTCCATTAGTAGTAGAAGGATCAAATGGATAATGAAAAAATAAAGAAATTTGAAATATACGATCTTTTTAAGCCAGGAGCTTTACGGTCCCCAAGGTATCAAAGAGGCTAAGTAAATAAAGGAAGATAAATAGATCCGAAGTAGACGACATTTTGAAGCTAGAAACTGGTACCGTGTGTACCAGGACTGAATTAAACAAACAGAAATGAAAAAGATTCGAAAAATACACGATCCTTTAAAGTTAGAGAAATTTGGGTTCCGCGATCAGTCGAGCAAATAAAGATCGAAGTAAACGAAAATAACAGAAAACCACACAATGTAGACAGATCTTTTATGATTAGAAACGTTATGGTCCCACGTGTGTTCAAATAATTAAATGATAAAACAAAGATAAAAAGGACTAAAAAAAAAAAAAAAAAAGAAATAGACGATCTTTTAATGCCGGACACGTTGAAACTCCGCGTGTCCCATGAAGATGGAATATTTAAACGAAAATTAGAACAAAAAAAGAAATTAGAAAAATACCTACTGCGTTCAAGTTCGAAACGTAATGGTAGCGCGTGTACCGGAAGCAGGTGCTTCGGCATGCAGGAAGGCGCAAGGTGAGGTCGATCAACTTGGCAGAGACGCGTCATCGAGAAGTTGCACGGCCTCGTGGCGTTGAAATAGCAAAGAGGGAAGGAGAGGCTGTCGATAGTATCCAATAACTGGCCGACGCTATCGCGTCGCTTGAGACCGCCAGTCGCCGGTTTTCCGGTTCTAACTGGATAGAAATCGCCGGGACGCCGTTCATTGTTCCTGAATGACTGGTCGAAACGGAACTTTGGCATCGTGGTTCACGTGGGCGACGCACGCCGCTTTCATTCACACCACACCTTTTTTTGCCGCGTTTTCAACGCCGGTTTTCCTTCCACTTTTCGTTTTCAGTGTTTCATATTAATCGCGTACGACGAAGCAACTCTTCTCGTTAAATACGAGTGGACGTTTAAGTAATATTCAAATATAGCGGCATTTGGAGAAAGATGGATAATTCTGCAAATTATAATGATTTTTTTCGACCTTACGTTTTAACCTTTTGCTTGTCGACTATTTTTATTATATACAGTTTCATAGTGGAATTAAAAAAAAAAAGATAAGATTCGTGGAATTATTTGAAAATTTTCTTGCATTTGATTTTAATCCTTCGCACTTGGAAAGATCCTCACGACACGCAGCTTCGTAACGAGTCTGTTTGAAATTGCGAATTTTGCTCCGAGAAGAGAACGTTACGAAACGTTATTTGTGACATACATTTCTTTCCAAGTTTTTATTTTTATCGGTGATAATAGTATAGAAACAATTTAGTATATTTTTAGTATGGAAACAAAATAGAAAAAATATTGAAATTTGTTTTTCTGGTTTGGGTGGGAAATCTTCACCTGATCGTAAGGTATTGCTGCGATCGACCATTTTTGAAGGATATTTAATAACGCAAGGAAGCGATTTTCAGTCGAATTTCTAGTTAACTAGTAAATCAGCGTAGGAATTTGTCGACGAACGTTGCATTTCCCAAAAAATGCAGACTCATCGATTCTTGATAAAGCCTCGTCAACTTTTATTATGTTTCCGCTTGGATTTTTGATGCGAAGCCAGAAGCGACAGCGTATTTTTTACTTGCCATTTAACGCAAGATCCGTTTATACACTTTTTGGCAGAGTTATTGGGCGGAATTAGTTTCAAGAATTACGTTTGACAATTTCTCACGAGGCATTTCCAACGTGTTATCGTTCCCAAGCGGCTGATTTATATTTGTAACAGAGAATGCAGAAAGTGCAAATGTGTAAGGTCAATAATTTTGGGCAAGCGAAATCGCGCAATTCTTAGCTGAATCGAGCAACAAGCTAATTGAAGAATAGTTACGACTGTGTAATTGAGCAATGACAATCAATTTTTATTGAATAAAATTTCACTTTAATAAAATTCAATTTCATATGATAAAAATTCAGTTTAATATAATTATAGAAATTAAATGTACTGAAATGAATCGTTCTAAAATTAAAAAAAAAAGTATTAATCAACTAAACGCGATAAACATATCTGTTTTCGCAAGAACTGATATCACAAAAATATAAAGCAAATCTGTTATTCATAAACAGAGTAAATAAAGTAAACTTCTTTGCTCGTAGTTCAAGGCGAATTTTGTTTTAAAAACGTCGAGTAATGTGTTCTAATTGTGTTCGAGTAATGTGATTCTAATTCGAACCAGAAATGAATAACTTATAATCAAACAATCAAGAGATAAAAGCAATAAAGACAGATAACGAAGTATCTTATTTGTTGATCTATATAATGAAAAAAGCACGATAATCTCGATGCCGTGAAGTTTCACAACATTAACGTAACAACGGCGCGACATAACAAAAATCAGTCGATTAGATAAAGCTGGGGCATTTTCATTTCGCGATACGTTTATCTAGAAAGCCAGCCACTCACGAGTCTCTTGGGACATTAGCGCCAAACAAGTTGAAAATAATATTCTGATGGGATAGGTGCAATCAGCTCGAAATTTTCAGTTCAGAGGCCACGAAAATTTGTGAGCCATAATACGCGAGGCAAACTGACCGTGAGAAACGAATCCTCCGTGGAAACGCGCCTCTAAAATTCCATGGCGGCTTGTTGCTCGTAAATTTACCTTCTCTCTTTTTCTAAATCTAACGAATGTCACATGAATTACATTTATCAAAAATATTTTCCAAATCGATGAAACGCGAAGTGTTGTGAATTCTTGAAGTATTTTTATTATCGCGATTTGTTACGCTTTCAGCACGTCTCAACTTCGCTTTTCGCAAACCTTTTAATTTTATTATCTTGGTACATGACTAGTGTCCGACGTTCTAAAGAATTCACTGGATTACTTCCGTTTAGTATATTCGTTGCAAAAGGATGTGATACAAGTGATGATAATAAATATCGGACGAAATGTTGAAAAATATTTGTAACGTCACGACGATTCAGTATTTTTTAATTAATGGATTCTGAAAAGTTTATATTCCTATGATACTTTGTTAATTTAAATGAAGTAATAACGGAGAGCATTATCGAAATTATTTCTCGTATTCATGGAGATTATGCTAGGATTTTACTCCTTAATCCCTCGATTCGGAAACGTTGCTGCCGATAATTAGGAAATTCAATTCTCCATGAAAATTACTTCCTTGTGATCCACAGGCTTTAACTATATACTCTCCATATTCCACCGTTATTTGAATAATTCCAAAAATCTTGTATGCCAAAATCTTATACCTAAATATACGGTTAATATCCAACCCTATTTTACCTAATCTACATGTATCAACCATTGAATCAACTGTAGCACCTTCCTAATCTGAATATACCTATTACTAGAAACCAATAAAACTGTATTTCAACAATCCTATCTCTGCATCACATCTCTAATCCGGTAGATCGCGATCGAACGCAACCCCCATTTACCCCCCAATTTGCCAAATCTAATTTGTCCTAGCATTTAGTATTAATTAAATCCATGATAAAGATATAGCTATAATACACTCTACACGTCACTGCAATATTTGATACCAATGTCAAAAATCCTCTACCTAAATATATAGGGTAGAAACTTAATACCTAATTCATATTATAATTCTGTTAGACTTTTCTACTGTATTTTCCCCCAAATTTAATTTGTCCTGGCATTTAGCATTAATTTAATCCATGATAAAGATATACCTTTGATATATTCTACACGTCATGGCAATATTTGATACCAATGTCAAAAATCTTCTAAAATACATAAAAAATACCTGAATAAGTAGAACAAAAACTTGATACATAATCTACATTGTAATTCTACTGTGCTTTTCTACTATGCCTTTTTTCTAAATTTAATTTGTCCTAGCATCTAGTATTAATTAAATCCATGATAAAGATATAGCTATAATACACTCTACACGTCACTGCAATATTTGATACCAATGTCAAAAATCCTCTACCTAAATATATAGGGTAGAAACTTAATACCTAATTCATATTATAATTCTGTTAGACTTTTCTACTGTGTTTTCCCCCAAATTTAATTTGTCCTGGCATTTAGCATTAATTTAATCCATGATAAATGTGGGATGGTGTGACGTTAGCGAAAGACGTGGCTGATTGTTTATAAACGTTGTTAAGATATGTTAATGTCGTCAAGGAGTGTTGTAAGCGTTACCAAGGTTTGTTACAGTAATGGTAATGCTGTCAGAGTTGAATTAATCGTGATCGAGAGAAGTTCATCGTGTTGCTGTGACGTAGAAATAGTGTTAAGCGAATTCGTAAAGTGCGATATTATATTCAATTTTGTGAGAGTGTTACAATATTGTGTTTATCATACTGTCTTTTCTGTTAATTTATAATAAACATTCCTACATAAAGATATAGCTATGATATACTCTACACGTCATTGCAATATTTGATACTAATGTCAAAAATCTTCTAAAATATATAAAAAATACCTGAATAAGTAGAACAAAAACTTGATACATAATCTACATTGTAATTCTACTGTGCTTTTCTACTATACTTTTTTCCAAATCTAATTTGTCCTAGCATCTAGTATTGATTTAATCCATAAAGATATAGGTATAATACACTCTACACGTCACTGCAATATTTGATACCAGTGTCAAAAATCCTCTACCTAAATATATAGGGTAGAAACTTAATACCTAATTCATATTATAATTCTGTTAGACTTTTCTACTGTATTTCCCCCCAAATTTAGTTTGTCACATTTAACATTAATTTAATTCACGGTAAAGATATAGTTATAGTATATACCCTATACGTCACTGCAATATTTGATACCAATGTCAAAAATCGTCTACCTAAATATATAGAATAGAAGCCTAATACCTAACTCATATAATTCTGTTAAACTTTTCTACTGTACCTTTTGCCCCAAATTTAGTTTGTCACATTTAACATTAATTTAATCCACAATAAAGATATAGCTAGAGTATAGCCTAGATGTCGTTTCAAATGTTTGCTACCAGTGCCAAAAATCCTCTACCTAGATGCTCAAATACCTTCTCTATCTAAATAAAATAGAAGCTCCACACCTAACCCATACAATAATTATACTATATCGTTTCAACAAACTCCATCATCCTCCAAATCGCGATACCAAAAAACCAAAAACCTACGTCTTCACATCCTCGATCCTTCCTGCGAGTCACGATTGAACTCAATTTTGTAGAACCTACTACCACCACCTTAACCATTAACAAAATACCCTCATCCGTTCCCAAATCCTCTCCCAATAAAAACATCGTCTCACCATAGTGTGCGTTCCACAATGCGTTCCATCATCATCCTCATCCTCATCCTCATCCTCATCATCATCATCATCACCATCATCATCATCATCATCATCATCATCATCATCATCATCACCATGTACCACCACCACCATCACCATCGTCATCGCCGCCACCAGCTTCTCTCCATCTTGCTCGTCCTCCACGGCGCTGCATCTTCTTCGCTGTCGTCTCTCGATTCTCGACGCGGACACGTCGTATCCGTGCCGCACGGGAATAAGAAATTAGCTCGTGGGATGTGAACACGCACACGCACAATGGAAAACACAAGCACAGGCACACGTACACACGGTGAAACACGCATAAGGTCGACGTGTCGGGTCGTGGTCACAGGACGCGCGTCAAGATATCGGTCTCGATTGAGGAAGTCGAGGATAAAAGGAGTGAACCTTATCGTCGGCTGGTCGGCCATTCAATAATTGCCGAGGCGCTAATCGAGCCATCCTAACCGGGACCTAGTCGGTTTACCGGTTCGAACCGGTGCGGACGAGCCACCGAGTCGACGATTCGGTGAATGGCGAGCTCAAACCAGAAAGAACCGGACGCGTCATTCACCGCTGGTGGAAGAGGAAGGAACGGAGTACTACACACGAGTCGATGCTTTTAGACTTTACACGCGTTCCACGATCGTGCTCAACAGCTACACAGACCTCTTCGACCTCAGCCGCGTTCAACGCTTTGTTTACAAACAGAGAGAATGGAGAACGGAACGCGCGAGAGGAATTGGCGCGAAATTTGAAAGAGCTGAGCGCGGCGCGACGGAGCGGGTTGGTATGAAGATGTTTGAGGGTCAGGCATTCTTCCTCGTTTTATTTTCTTTCTAAGATTTGTTGCATTCGTAATTAATGGTTGAGTCTCTTTCTACTAATTCTTCTTCTTTTTTTTGTTTTGTGAAGGTTTGGATTCGTTCTGAAGATTTTCGAGTGGAGTTGATCGGTAGTTATGTTAAATTATAAAAAGTTTGATGCATTCGTAATTAATGTTTGAGAATCAGGGATTCTTCTTCTTTTCTTTTCCTTTCTTTCTTTTGTTTTTTATTTTGTAGAGATTTAGATTCATTCTGAAGATTTTGAAGTAGGGTTGATCGAGGGTTAGGACTAAAATGTAAAGTTCAGAAATTAGGGATTTTTCTCTTTTTATCAAAAATCTGTATTCATTCTGAAGATTTTGGAGTAAGGTTGATTGGAAGTTAGAATGGAAATAAATTTGTTATATTCACGGAAACCATAATTGATGTCTATTTAATAACAGATAGAATTAGTTTCTCTGGAGTAAGTCTGATCTTGCATATGTGTATGCATATATTACAATCATGCATTAATTCAATAAATATACACTTTCATTTTAACATTAATTTTACAAACAGGTATTTAAAATGTACTCATAAGTAATGAAGCTTAAGCAATCACTCGAGGAAGAAACGAAAAAATGTCGACCAGTATGCAAAGCATGAACCTTAAATAGCTTTAGGTAACTAAATCACCGGGTATACAAATAGCGCATGCAACTTAAGTTATCCGAGATAAGTTATCTGCACCATGATAGTCGGTGTTTGAAAGATGATTAAGCGATCGTTTACGTTCACCTTGCTCGATTGACAAATATGTTCCATGAGGCGATGTTTCATTAACGAAGCTATGGCGCTAAAGCAATTTTATCGGCCTTTTTTCCAAGAACTTTCTTGCTCGTTCGACGATCGTTTATCTTCCTGTCCGATTAAACAAAGCATTTCGAAAGGTTCGCATTTCTCCTCTGAATAAAACTTTGCTTGCCGAAGAATCTATGCTATCACCTGTTCGATGATAAAAAACAAGATTCATCTGCTTGTTATTTTATTTTCACTTGGTTCTTCGTCAGCGAGATTCACTTCAGAAAGCGTTCTTTTCTCGTAGGATTTTGGGATACGTTTAAAACACTACATATTCATAAGAGGATCCCTCAATTTTTTGAACCATTGCATACTATCGAGACGAATTATACCCACCTAAGCGATAGTGTGACAGCGACCATACTCAAATCTACGCCATTCCACGCTACCTGACAATGAATCCTTAGACTCTGACCTTACCTTTGGTAAACACCAAACTTTCCTCATCACGTAGGGCACTCAGAATCCTCTCCTTGTTCCTTAACTCCTACAAACTCAACATATAAAACTGCGAGCATTCGACCACGAGACTAGTCTTGGGTACAGTCTTGGCCGCGATTTGAACAACTATTTTAATACTTTGTAATTTCGCTACTTCATCGCAATATTGTACTTAACCACTTTTGTAAATAAAAGTATATAAAAATATAAAAGGACAGTCGAGTCAAGCTATTGCTCAGCTCTTCCCTTTTTATCGCGAATTTTACGTGACAGTAGCATCGACGATGACGTCAGGAACGCTTCGTCAGAAATCGATTCGACGAAAACCAAACCTACGAACATTTCATTCGTTAAACATCAAATTAATTAAATTAAACGTCAAATAATCTGGTCCTCTCTTCTGTTATGTTCTCTTCCTCTGTAACAAACAGCAGATAAATAAAATGAACAAACGAGTGAACATTTGCATGTTCAACATTTTGTCACAACGTTGATTCTAATTAAACGCTTCGTCAACGTTAATTCGTTTTCGTTTAAATCAACGTTAAAGAATGCAAGAAAGACATTTTCCCTGTTTGTTACGCAGCGGCGTTTAATCCAAAAACAAAGGAGTTTTTCTCGAATCGAAACGATTTCAACGGTCGAATATGACATCGTAAAGAGGAGAAGGAAGACCCGCGGAATCCTGGCACGCGATCCTTTGTGTCGATTCGTAAATCCATCGTCGCGACCATTTCCACTGTCGGGCTATCGAAGCGGCAAAAAAGGATGAAATGGTTGGTCTGGGCCAAACTGCGAGACTGAAGCCCCATTACTTCGCTATTATCTGCCGCAGAATGCTCATCCCTCTACGCCACGGTGCCCCGTAATTCTCTTGGCCTGCTTTTTACCTCGTTTCTAATTCCGTCATTTTCCACGTTCCGCTTTAATTCCCGATTTCGCCTTTTTCCCTTTTTCCAATGGATTCATGACCGGAAAAATATGAGAAATATTAGATTGTGCGAAAAGTTTCTTTCGTTTTATAAGAAAATAATAGACGCTTAATAATAATGTTTTTTGTTGTATATTAGTTTATTGAATTGTGCACGAAATATAACGAAATGGATCATACCTAATTCAATAAAATAATATAAAACAGAAATCGTTGTTCATCTGTTATCATCTTATGAAACGAAAGAAACTTTTCGGACAACCTACTAACAGTTGTAGCAATACGAACAGGATTCGATTTTATATTTTTCTTGTATTTTATACACGCGGTATGTATTTTCGATCTTCGCTATTTATTTTATGCTCTTCGTTCCCTCGTAGAGTGAACTGCCGATAATACGTGGAAGAACGTAGAAGACGAAATGATCAAAGAATATTTTGTACACGTAGAATCCATTTCGAACACGATGTTGCATAAACACGGGAATTCAGAATTATTTGAATAATTAGCAGAGACAGTAGTGACGTTAAAAATACATTCGCTCGTATGTATACATCATTCATAAAATAAATGTATTATTCGTTATTGAAATCCATTATCAATTATCGGGAGAAAAGCGAATAATAGCGGAGCGTTATAATTAGGTCGCTGCATATGAAATGTTATTTCAATGCGAATCGAATTTGACCGAGGGGAATTATAGACAGGGCAAGATTTGCAAAATTTCTCCAAAATGATACAATTTAATTAAATCCTAGTAAAAACTACATATTCGTAGGTATAATTAAATATACGACGTCTTTGTTTCTTTTTTTTTTCTTTCCCCCCAAAAAGCTATGTGTTCCCAGAGTTTTATCGGAAGAAGTCATATTTCATACTTTTTATCAAAATCATAAGTCACACGATCGAATATCTTGACATTGTTTGACTAGATAATTTACATAGTTATCGAGCATTAACTTACAAACGTATGTTGCATCTTTTCTGAACGACCAGACCGCGCCTTTAAATTTCCTTAGAAAAGAAAGAAGGAAAAATTAGTCACGTCGTTACGGTGATTTTTCGACGATTTCCATTCATCGGATTAATTCGCAAAGTACATCGATTCCCAGAGGCACTTGCCATCTTCGTAATATGTTCGCGATTTTACATCGACTTTCAGTTAAATTATTATGACGCACGATCATTGAAAGCTCAGGAGAATCAAATGGTGTTAATTATGTATGCAATTTGTACGCAAATGACATTATTCTGGGAACCAGGAAAAAGGATTTTCCATTGATTTAACTAATCTATTGCCTGTTAATCAGGTGGCAATTGCGGGCTGATTTTAAAATTGTCTGCTATTTTGTTACTGTAATTTCAGATGTATTACCTTATATAATTTTTCATTGAATTTATTTCGTGAAATCGGATGGATAAATAAGTGTCACCATATTGAAAGCACCAAGTCTCTCAAGACGATTGGCTGCATCGTTTTTTTTTACAAGTACTAAGAATGAAAAAAAAAGTTTAAACTACGAAATTATTAAATTTCGTCATTGAAGTTTTACGTTACTAATTTTTAGCAATCAAAAGTGGTTAAATCACTAACCTTTACGAACCAAATTTGACAAAATCAACGTAGACATTCATTGAAATGCAAGCACGACTATATGTATATATGTATTTATGTATATATATTTTATTTTCAACATGTCAATTTAATTATAACTATTTAATCGTTTCGTTATAATCGTCAAATTATTTAATTATTCGATATTCAGTTATTTAATTATTTAACTGCAACACAAATATGCTACTACTCAGTACACGTTAAAGCTGAAACTTATCCCAGTGTTAATACTTCGTTCTCTTAATTTTTTCACGCAAACGATTAATTAACACGAGCTTGCAAATGAACCTTGACAGGTATACAGCAATTTGCTCTGTTTGTCGTAGCCATGAAAGGCTGCCAACCACTTTGCTACCGTCAATAAAATATATAAACGTATGAACGATAACGTCGGCGGTTCATAAATAGGATCCAAAGGATCCAATCGAGATAGTTTCCTCTAACATCATTTTCTATCTCTCTTTCTCTTTCTCTCTCTCTCACTCCCCCTCTCTCTTTCTTTTCTACTTTCAAACGAACAATTTCAAACATACTTCAGACATCGTTGGTGATCGAATTCGTAGAGGAGGAAGTTTTACTCGCAAACTGAACTCTGTGTACTCGCGCGGTTCCCCTCTGTTCTTCAGTCCTCCATGAAATCGTTCCTCATTCTTCATACGATCGACGAATAAAACTTTCGTGATCGATGGAGACCATCTTGTCGAGATAGTCTCGAGATAGACTAGAGAGTATTCGCTATTGAATCGTACAGATCAGTTGAAGACACAGTGACGTTAATTAGATCGTTTTATCGA